CTACCTTCTGTTAATGGGCCCATCAATGCCCTGCCCCATGACTCATAGATAACTTCCCCCTGTATTGTCCCCTGTTAATGGGCCCACCACTGCCTTGCTGCATGACTCAGAGATAACTTCCTCCTGGACTGTTTTCTGTTAATGGCTCATCAAGGCCTTATCTCATGACTCACCATCCCATTGTGAGATGCTCCTCCCCGAGGGAGGAGCCAAGCATTCCATACTGGATATAAGCTGAGAATTCGAACACCACAGCAGCCCTTACCTACGGGACTTCCAGAGGACAGGAGCTACTGCTGGACTTTCAGCTGAAGACCAGACCCCCTTTCTTCCAGAGGATCACGCTTCAACAAGACCACCTCATCTGGACGACTACCATCACCCTAACAGGGTTCCAGGCTGTATTCTGACTCTGTCAGTGTTTTTGATATTATTGCATTTATTCTTTTTATCATTTTCCTATTAAATTATAATTCTGACTTGCGATCTCTCACTGGTTTGATTTCAAACTAGTACAACCCTTTAATTTCTCCAGCAATTACTGAATTCTCAGTTTGCTATCAGTACATCTTCCCAAGATTCCCAGGAAAATTCCCCAGTCATCTCCAGCCTGACCTGAGTTTGGGCTACAGAAATCCACTGCATGCTTAGTTTGTAAAAAAACAAATACGGATCTAACAGTGTGAACAAAATTTCATGAGTAAACCAGCACCACCTAAGTGCTGGCTCCATCACTGCCTGTCGAGATGGAGTTTGACAAGCCACGTAACTTTCCTCTCCTTCAACATTTTAGGATAAAAAACATGGATCTCAAGTATTCAGGATGTAAAGCAGGGATGCAGCACATTCTCTCACCTGTGACATCGATCCTGAAGGTGAGTTTTTGGCCAGCAGCCTCACAGGTGTACTCCCCAGCATCTTTCTTCTCCACCTGACCCACCACCAGGCGACGAGATTTGCCCTCAGACTCCACCTTGAACTTCTTGCTGGAGGTGATGAGTTTGCCATCCTTGTACCACTTCACCTCTGTTTTCTCCTGGGCCACCTCGCAGCTCAGCGTGGCATTTTCTGACAGAGCAGCTTTCACCTCTTTCTGCACCTTCTCCTTTTTGAGGAAAGCATCTTCTGCCTCTGAAATAGAGAAACATAACAGGGGAAAATATGTAAGATATAAATATCTTTTGTCAAGAAGTTCTTATTTGCATGAGGTGCAGATGCTCTGCAGGATCCTGGACTTGGCAGTGCTGGCCCCATTGGACATGATGATCTAAAAGGTCTTTTCCAACATGAATAATTCAATATTAAACACTTGCAACTAACACAGCTTTGCAGTTCTATTTATCACATAAATAAAGGAATGTACCCTCAAAATAGAGTCCATGTAATTATCATCCTTCTCTGACTTGTCCTCATGAACAGCTCAATCACTCCATTTGCACATTTCTTACAATGGATTATAAAGATTAAATACTCTCTTGTGTCTTTATGATATTTCTACTCCCGGCATTTGGAATGAGCCAAATATAGCACAACGGTGAGTTGCCACTTCCACCATCACTTTATTTAGAGGATTTTAGCAGGTGTTTTAGATCAAAATTGGGTGTTTGATAAAATACCTTGTAACCCAATCCCAAAGAGAGGATAAAGACACAGTTCCCAATATGGAAAAATACTTGATGAGCATTACACACAAAATTAGCACATAAAATTTGAAGTATATTTTTATTTCCTAAAATATCTGATTTTCCAGCAAGCTGTCCACCTGAAAAGATGGTGCAGCCATGGGGAAGTCAGGCTCAGCTCCCAGGGAACAAGAGACAGGATAAGAGGAAACGGCCTCAAGCTGTGCCAGGGGAAGGTCAGGATGGACACCAGGAGTAATTTCTTCATGGAAAGGGTGGTCAGGCATTGGAAGGAGCTGCCCAGAGAGGTTTGGAGTCTCCACCCCTGGAGATATCCAAGGAACACCTGGATGTGGCACTCAGGGCTCTGGGCTGGGGACAAGGTTGGGCACAGCTTGGACTCCATGGTCTGGGAGAGCTTTTTCAACCTCAGTGATTCTGTGACCTGAGAGGCTCTGGGGGATGCTGAGCCACTTCCATCCCCTGTGCTACTGCCTTTCTCTTCCCAGTGACTCCCTGCAGCCTCCTGGGGCCATCCTCAACTCCTCCTGGATGACTTTCTCCCATCTCCATCACGTCTGCCCTGAATGGCAGCAGCTGCCTGGGGAGGGTGAGGAGAAGCTCAGGTTGAGTTCCTCCACTGCTGACAGTGGCACCAGACGTGGTCCTGGGCCACATCACAGCCTTCCCATGAACTGCACCATCCATGGAAAGAGAGGTGTCCTGCAGGGAGCAACACGGAGCAACAGTCCAGCTCAGGGGCTCTGAATTTGGACTCCTTTGTTTTTGTTGGCTGCAGAAGGGGTGTGAGGAGATGCCATTGTCATTTAGGGGGCACATGGTCTATGCTGGGGGATGTAAAGCTCCTCAAGGGCTCATGTCAGCAGCATTTTCACATCTGAAAGAGCTGGTAGCACACCAAGCTTTGCATTCAAAACTGATTGCAAAAAAATATTAATATTTAAACACCCATCTACAATTTTGAGCGTGAATATGCAGCGTATTTAATATGTTATAAAACAAGTCTGTGTTGATGAGGGCTGTATTTAAAATGTCAGGTTAGCACAGCAGGAATATTCCAGACTCATCTCACTTGTCCTTTCCATTCTTGGCCTTTCATATAAGCCATTTTTATACTAATGGGAAGTGTGACTAAAACTTTTAATCAGCTCCCAAATTGACTTATACCAGTTGATAATTTCTCTTAGAGACTTATTTTAAATTTTAACAATTATTCAGTGCAGATGACATTTCCAACCTTAAGTGAAACTGGTTATTGAAGTTTCAATGAAAATGAGGGAAAATATTTTCAGAACCTGAAACTTTCACTGATTTCAAATACGGATTTCACTGCATACCCTCAATCCTGAAACACTGAGCTTTCAGAATCAGCTTCTTTTTCTACATGTCCAGCTCAGTCCCAAGGTGTGCAGTAGATTCTTTTTCTATTAAGCCAAAAACTGCAGTGGCATCCCAAAACCCAACACTGAGCATATAACCTTAAACCTGTCCTTAAACAGGGAAGGCTTTGTGCTACCAGTGGAGCCCTGGAGTGCAGGAGCCCTGAAAAGTTTTCCAAGTGCAATGGCACCAGGATAAATTAAGACCCAGAAACCTGCTGCACTTTGGGATAAACTAGTAAGAGAAGGATTTCTGCTGCAGAAGAGCCAACCACTCTGAGTACGCATAATCCCTCCTGACTTTCACACTGGATCATTTTCCAGCCAGTGCTGGACTGGCACGTCGTGTTACAGTTGTTCCCATGAGAAATACAGCAACGGTAGCTAAGGCAGGCTAACGGCACAGGGCAAGGGGTCACATTACCCTGTGCCACCGTGAGGTCACCTCGCTGGAAAGAGAGCTGGAAACCTTTGCTTTCTGAGGCAGACAGCTCCCTCAGAGAGGGAAATCCATGTGTAAACCACTAAATTTCTGTTTTCTGACTGCACCTCTGCAGTAATGTATGAACCAGTGTCAGCAGCGAACAATGAATTTGGTTTATAACAATTTTGCCCAGAGAAGCTGTGGCTGCTCCATCCCTGGAAGTGTTCCAGGCCAGGCTGGATGGAGCTTGGAGAAACCTGGGATGGTGGGAGGTGTCCCTGCCTCCCAGGGCACAAGGTGATTTTAAGGCCCCTTCCAACTCAAATTACTCTGTGTTTTTATGATGGTCTTTCAATGTTCATATTGGATTTTCTCTGAAAACCAAAACCTCTCAAATCTATCCTTGCTTATCCTTCTTTACCCATCCTCCTCTGAAACTGGCACCTCTGTCAGCCAGAGAATGAGCTACACAAAGAATGAAAAGGAGCCAAAATGCCCCAGCTCACAGGCTGGGTACCCCACACAGAGTGGAGTCAATAGATTTCCAACACAGCTGTTCCTCTACACAGCTGATAAAATGCCAAACCTCTCTTTGGTGCTATAAGAAAACAGAGGTGAAAATTGCTTCCCTGTTCTGATCATCTCTGCATATGAGACAAGAATTTTAAGGCTAAAAAAGAAGGATTTGTCTGTAAAGATAGTGGAGTGCTATGAATATAAAAAAAAAAAACAACAGCCAAACACTTTTACAACATCCAGTTCAGAAAAGATCACTCAGAATGTAGCTGATGTCCATGGCTGCCTGGAGCCTGAGATAAAATTCACTAGACCTCCTGCAAAAGATACTGAGACCAAAGAAATCACAGAATCATTCAGGCTGGAAGAAAACTTGGATGATCATTGAGTCCAACTTCTCCTCCAGCACTTCCAGGTCTCTAAATGCCACATCCACACAACTTTTAAATCCTTCCAGAGATGGCAACTCCACCACTTCCCTGGGCAGCCTGTTCCAATCCCTGACAACCTTTTTGTCTAGGAATTTTTTTCCAATATCAAACCCAAACCTATGGTGGAACTTGAGGCCATTCACTCTTGTCCTACCACTTGCAAAAACAGAGGAGGGAAAAGAGTGATTTTCATGGAAGAACACCCGTAACAGGAGGAGGAACACCAGCACTGGTGGTCAAACTGGAAGAGATTTTTTAACACAGTGCCTGCTACTGAGAAGTCCTGTTCACTACCTCAGTTGAAGGAGACATACAGGGAAGTGAGGAGCTGACATCAGGATATCTACAGGTCAGCTCCAGATCTGCCCAGTCCTGCACAGCCTGACTGAAATGCCAGCTCAGACCACCATCAGAAAGTACTTTAACAGCTTTTCTAATACTGTGTCAGAGAAAACGGGGGAAAACACCCAGATACAAAGAAAAACAAATGAATTGCAACCCAAAATCTGTCTCTCACCTGTGACATCGATCCTGAAGGTGAGTTTTTGGCCAGCAGCCTCACAGGTGTACTCCCCAGCATCTTTCTTCTCCACCTGACCCACCACCAGGCAACGAGATTTGCCCTCAGACTCCACCTTGAACTTCTTGCTGGAGGTGATGAGTTTGCCATCCTTGTACCACTTCACCTCTGTTTTCTCCTGGGCCACCTCGCAGCTCAGCGTGGCATTTTCTGACAGAGCAGCTTTCACCTCTTTCTTCACTTTGTCCTTGTTGATAAACGCATCCTCTGCTTCTGCGGAGTGGGAGGAGTAATTTTAAAATCACACATAAGTTGATGCTGTCCAAAGTGATCAAACCCAAACGAAAAACACAACTTCAACATCTCTGGCATTTTTTAATGCTTAGACAGGACATGGGCCTTTGTCATGCCTGAGACAACACATCAGCCATTTCTGAGAAAAATAATTCTGTGCCTCAGGATTTCAGCTCATTCCCATCTCCACAAGAAATCCATTGCTTTATTGAATAATGTAGTGGACAAAGAAATACCAAATCTAATTTGCCACTGGGATCCATGTGGAAGCCTTGCCCATTCTAGGAGACCCGTTCTCCTACTTCTTCCAGACTTATTTTTCCTACATATCTGGGAGACAACCTTACCTTAACCCTGTAAATGAGAATGGAATGGAAACTTGTCTATCTTCCCACGACTGGGAAATCAGAAAACACCAAGGGGCACTGAGGGGGATTCATCCCATGGATGAAGATGTCCAGCTGTCAGCATCAATGTGACAGTGAATGGGTGGTTGATCACTACTCAAAGAGGATTTAGGCTTCACAAACACTGGAGCCCAAAGTGAGGCACTTTTTTCAGTAGTAAGGGACCTTTCTGTGATGAGAATTAATGATCTCCTACCTGTGACATCGATCCTGAAGGTGAGTTTTTGGCCAGCAGCCTCACAGGTGTACTCCCCAGCATCTTTCTTCTCCACCTGACCCACCACCAGACGACGCGATTTGCCCTCAGACTCCACCTTGAACTTCTTGCTGAAGGTGATGAGTTTGCCATCCTTGTACCACTTCACCTCTGTTTTCTCCTGGGCCACCTCGCAGCTCAGCGTGGCATTTTCTGTCAGTGCAGCTTTCACCTCTTTCTTCACTTTGTCCTTGTTTGTAAACACAACCTCTGTCTCTGTAAGGAAACCCCAAAAGTCACCCACAGCTTTTTGCAGTCCTTTTCTCTGGTTTTTAATCAAGTTTCTTCTATTTCATTGTACTTGCCCTAACAGGTAATATCATGATGGGCCATTAGTGCAAGAAAGCACCTTCATCTCTGCTTTGCTAAGAGGTGAACAGGAATGAGAATTTTATGGGAATTCTGAGGTAATGTTAAAAACTCACAGTTTTAGGACAGATTTAAATGTAGGACTTGGAGCACCAGCTTGCATTGCCTGAATCCCCTCTCCTCTCTTTTTCTCTCCCAATATCTCTCCAAGATTCCAGTGAATCAGAAGGGAACAGAACCTGTATCCTCATGTCCAGGAACCATTGCTATGTTTCTGCCTATTTGGGACAATTCCATTGTTCTCCATCCAATCATGGAATGGTTTGTTGGAAGGGACCATAAAGATCATCCCACTCCAACCCACCTGCCATGGACAGGGACACCTTCCACTAGACCATGTTGCTCCAAGCCCCATCCAAAGTTTAAGGGGTGGGATCTAATCAGAGCTCTTCAAACACCTTCCCCTTTATCCATCCCTCTGCTACGGCCTCACACTATTTTTCCATGGGAGTTTTTCTGTGGACATGCCAACTAATTGTGAGAGGAGAGGGAATTTTCATCCTTTCCTATGATTTTCTTTTTGTGGTCACAACAAGTCATGGATGCAGAACCATGTGTATAAAATCTTGTTATGAAAGCTGCCCAAAAAAATTGAGTACGATGGCTGAGATCTTTCACCCCGGGCACACTGTGAGATGATCCTCAACACGTAATTCTCCTTTACCTTTGGCATTCCTGGCATTTTCTCACCTCTGACTTTGACTTGGAATGTTGTTCTGTCATCCTTTGTTTCACAGGTGTAGCTGCCTTGGTCTTGCTGTGTCACCTTCTTGATGATGAGCTTGCGTTGTGTCCCCTGGCAGACGATTGTTGTCCTCTGGTCCTGCTTCACCTCAGTCTGATCCTTCCTCCACACCACGGCCCCGCCCGCAGCTGACACCTCACACACCAGCTCCAGGCTTTCAGAAGGACTGACTGATACTTCTGGAGTCGTTTTGGGCTTGTTGACAAAAGTAACAGCTTCATCTGGAGCGGAAAAGAGAAAACAATTTATGCCTTGCTGCCGGTTTATCTACACAGTTAGGATACAGCGATTATCGATTGTTATTCCATTATCACACACAGTTTATGCCACTCTGACAGATGGTGCAAACCCCTCTGATCTTCAGATAATTGCTCTCAATTACAGTGAAATCCCCTTCATCTGCCCTACATCCTCCTGGATCTTTCAAATCAAGCTGAGACGCCCTCAAGTTGCTCACACTTCATTTACCACTCCTTGATTCTGATGTCAAGCAAGCTCTGGGGGATGCCTGTTGATGTCTGAGTACAGAAACAGCTTTGAAAACACCTGGGAAATGTCAGAAAATCTACTTAGAAGTGATGAGAACCCTTTTTTAAATGTTTCTGAGTCCATTCCTGCAGGTTGTTGTTCACAGTATCAGTCCTACTGGATTAATTCTTTTCCGTGGGAGAACCTCATGGATAAAATATTCTCCAAATTCAAGTTAGGAGAAAGCTCTAAGCAACCTGGTCCAGTGGAAGGCATCCCTGCCCATGGCAAGGAGTTGAAAGGATATGGTTTTTAAGGCCCTTTCCAACCCAAATCATTCCATAATTCTATGAATATAGGAGTCAATATTCTCAAATCTTTTGGCTGAAACTGATCCTCCCAGCAGAGAACTCAGAACTGCTCAAACAGCTCAGCTGAGGTTCCTGCATGGATAGCTCAGCTCAAACCCTGCTGACAGCATAGGTATGGGATGAGCAAATACAGGGGATTTGCCATGTAAGCAGCAATAATACAACATTTTAATCAATCAACACTCTTTGCAAGTGTCTTTGTAAAAGTGAAGGCAATGAAGTGAAGGCAGAGACCTTGGTGTAAACTGTGAGCAAACCTCCTCAACACACCCTGTCCCTAAGCCAAGGAGCAATATTTGATGGGCATGTCAGGTATTTCAGAGCCTTCCTTCCATCAGGGCTGCCCAGGCCTGAAGAGCAGGCTGAGGGCTGTCACTTAGAGCCAGCCTCAGCTCAGGATTGCATTTCTTTTAGCAGCAACTGTTGCTTTCAGTCACTGAGTACCCCAAGGATAATCGCCATGCCAGGCAAGCATTTAATTAAAATTTGCATTCATTAGGACTGACATATTCTTCAACAATTAGCTGACCAAAGCAGGGTGGTCCATCCAGAATCCTGCTGTTCAGGGTTTTTGGGGTGTCTTATTACCTTCAAGGCAGATTGATTCCCTGCCCTGAGACCACCCCCTGAAGGTGCAGGGCAGCTTCTCAGCACTCTGGAAAATTTTATGGTGACACATGAAACAAGGAGGAAGCTGCCCCAGCTAAGGTGTTGGTAACAGGTTGTAACTCAATCCTTGTTCAGCAAAAGTTTTGTGGGGATGGGACAAGGGATAATGGCTTCAATTTCCAGAGGGCAAGGTTAGATGGGATATTAAGAATAAATTCTTCCCTGTGAGGGTGGGCAGGCCCTGGCACAGGGTGCCCAGAGAAGCTGTGGCTGCCCCTGGATCCCTGGAAGTGCCCAAGGCCAGGCTGGACAGGGCTTGGAGCAGCCTGGGATAGTGGGAGGTGTCCCTGCCCATGGCAGGGGGTGGGACTGGAGGGGTTTTAAGGTCCCAACCCAAACTTTCTGTGATTCCAGGATTTAGCAGATAGCAGTTTTCATTTCCTGAGCCATGTGATTTTTTTGTCTCAGGAGTTACAGGTGAGATTCACAAACCTGCCCATGGTCAGCAAAAAGTTAATACCCAGCTCAGGCCATCCTGCAAGCTTCCTCTGTACCTGACACTCAGAAAAAGGCACAACCAGAAGACTTCTAAAATCTGTCTTAGACACCTCTAATCAGACACTATAAATCAGATTGCACAAATTGCCTTTTGAGGGGTCAGTTTGGGCAGAACCTGGTTGGCTCTTTCAGACCAATTTTTCAATGGGTAAAGTCAGGGACTAGAAATTACGCTCCAAGAGAAACTGCACAATGTTGGATTCTCAGAAGAGAGCAGGAGGTGAGATGCAGAGTGAATACCTGAGCAAACACCAGCTGGAAGCTGGAAGTACTCCCTACAGCTCACTAAATCCTGCAGCAATCCCTCAAGACAAGTGCTCTCCAAAATTAATCAGCTTTGTTGAGTCTTTAGTTAGCTCATGGACAGCATCACCGTAACCTGGATATTCTGTTACAGGTCACAAGCACTCAGTGGGGACTTCTCTTGAATTGCACTGTACTGGAGACATGTCAGGAGAAGATTTCGGGGGATTTTAGGGATTTTAAGCTTTCAATCTTAAATTTAGGAGCAGGTTAAAAGTTAGTCTCCAGGCACAAGCCAGAAAACCCCATTTAGAAGAAAATTCCCACAAACATGCAAGTCGAATCAGCTGAATTTCACAGATATTGAGTTTCACAGATGAATTCTTGTGTCATTTTATACTCTGGCTCCATCCTGGGCTGGAATGCAGTGGTGACAAGCATTTCTCTTCTGGGCTTGACCTGACAACCACGTGCTTTGTGTGATGGGCACGTGACATGGACTGATGGAGTCGCTTACAGTAGCACAGGGAGTGATCCCTGAGATCACAGCGTCCTTTGGGAATAGCAGGAGATGTTTAATTAAACAGGAATTAAACTTGTCAAAGGAGGGCACACAGCTCTCACAGAAAGACTTTGAACCCCTGGCCGAGGCAGTCCTAAGATGATGCACACCCTGAACTAAAAGAATGCCAGATGTGGCTGACAGCTGTTCCGACATCGTCGCTTTTGGGTTGTGCTCCAGCCCTAGAAAAAGCTTGAGCTGACTCAAATAAATCACAGCATTGTTCTATTATTTGCCCACACTCTGGGTTTGCACCAGGATCACAACAAGGGTCAGAATTTCTGAAAGTGTTTTGCAACCCTGGCCCAAAACATCTGTCAATTTATAAGGTAGGATGAGTCTAAAGAACAAAATCCTGCATTTCTCACACAGACTCTGATCTCACACTTGCAGCACAAACTTACCTGAGACTTTTAAATCAAATGTAAGGGTGTCATCCCCTATTTTGCAGGTGTAAGTTCCTTCATCTTCTTTTGTCACAGACGAAGCCACAAGCTTGTGCAGTTTTCCTTTGTCTTCCATGGTGAATTTCTTGCTGGCTGTGATTTCCTTACCATTTTTGTACCACTTCACCATGATGTTGGCCTCGGAGGTCTCAGACACAAACTCAGCCTGTTTCCCAGCAATGGCCTTGACAACTCCTCCAGTTTTCTCTTTGTTTACGAAGTTTGCAGGTGCTGAAACAAAACACAGACAATAAAAATGTACACTGACATCTACATTAAGTATTCACTTATCATAACACCAGATCTATTTATTGAATTATGGATCTAATTGCTAGATTCCAAAGCAGAAGCAAACAAATTTCCAACCATATTCCTTATTATCCTGTGTCCAAAAAGCAGAGAACATAGACAGCACAAGAGGCTGAGTCAAGAAGAAGCCGCCCCAGGATACAGAGCTTTAAAATAACATTTTAAAGAGACATGAAGAAACAAATAAACTGGAGGTAAAGCCAGGAAGGTTACTTAATCATTATATTGTAACAAGCTGGCAAATAAATTGTCTCTAAAAGAGGTTAAAATATAACCTAGATAATTTAAATTACATAAAACTAATAATCTGTATGGATATCTCATAGGACCAAAATGAAAAGAAATTTATTCCTGGAAATTAACTGGAGCATAGGAAATAAACAATAAATCTGGCATCATATTAACATGGAGTGAAATAATTGAGTCACCAATTGCCTCAAAGCTAAAGATCAAACCCACGCCAATATCCAAACTGAAACCACAGTCCCACTGGCCTTTGGGGAAAAGGGGAAAGGGAAAAGGGGAAAGGGGAAAGGGAAAAGGGAAAAGGGAAAAGGGAAAAGGGAAAAGGGAAAAGGGAAAAGGGAAAAGGGAAAAGGGAAAAGGGAAAAGGGAAAAGGGAAAAGGGAAAAGGGAAGGGATGGGCACTACTAAGACATTCCTTCCCCAGCATTACTGAAACTCAATCCACAGGTTCAAAGTAGTGGGAGGAAGAAGAGGGACATGAGTTCATTCAATCCCTTTTCCCTCCCTCAGAAAACCAGAGTGAAAACCACAACCAGAGCAGCCCAAAGGAGGCGTCTCAGATGTCCCTTGTCACCACCGAAGGCCACATGTCAGAGGGTGCCTGGCACGTGGAGCTCAGGGCAGTGCAGGGACTGTGGTGATAAATGGCAAGTGCCATTCTGGCTGGTTTGGCCAGGAGGCCCAGGCAGTGACACGGTGGCCATGGCAGTGCACGTGATGCCTGTGTGCCATTTACAGCTGACCTGCTCCTCAAATGATTCCCAGCTCCCCGTGGCTGATAAAAGGTGGCAATAAAGGGAGGTAAAATGGTGATAGAGCATTTTTGAGGCTCATCCCACAGGGGTGAGAGGTAGCAAAGGTGATTCTCCAGGAACCAAGCTGTAAACAGCAGACATTTAAATTGTTGGAAATGCTAGAAAATCACAGCTTGTCAATGCAGGTTTTAAAATAATAACATTGATCACTCATTTGGTAGCCACACCACAGTGATAAACACATGGAAGCATCCACCTAGTAATTCAATTAAATGTGGGTAGAACTGACAGCATGAAAAATGATGCTAAAGAGGAAGAGCAAGAGAGAAAAAAATCAAAGGTAAGAGCAGGTGCAAATTGTAGACAGAAATTCCTCTATATTTAGATTAAATCACATTTTAAATTTTTTTCAACTCTCTCAAGTTTGCTCTTTGAAACAACCAAACAAGTTGTTTCAAGTTTGAAAAAAACCCATTATATTCTCAAGCTTTGTTGTATCTACAGAGACCAAGGAGGGTGAGGTGCCAGAAGATGATGATGAAACCCCTCAGACTCCCTCTGTGCAGAAACAGTGTGATCATAGCTGGGAGGAAGGCAGGAGTGAGCTGTGGGACAAAACATGGAAATCAAATGGCTTTACAGAGTGAACTTGCCAGTTCAAAGAGAAATAGGCACTGAAATGCCCCCAGTCTTGATGGAAATGATACAAAGCTTAACATTTTTTATATAACTTTAGTCAGATGTTTTGTTCGCCCTTGCCCAGGGGGAAAGGAATTGAAGTTTCTTTTCAAAGGACTGTATCACCACTCGAGGCCTGACGAGCTTAACATCTCAACAGACTGGGGGGTAGCGCAGAAGATATAAAAAAGATAACAACCATTAATGACTAATGAGCATTGAACCAACTCATTTCTCCAGGTGTTGACAGTATAAGTACGTAAAAAATCTAGTAAACATCACGTGTGATGGAATGATTTTCTCTGCACAACTTGGTGCACATCCTGGACAGAAATAAAGTGATGCCTTGATTCTCTAACGCTAAAAAAGGTTGTTTGGGAGTTTTTGGTTCTCCCTCACTGTCAGAGTCTGACAGCAGGCTGGAGTGGCCTGGAGTGAGACTGTGTGCTCTGAACCTCAGCAGATGAACCACGTGAGGAACAGTCTGGGGAGAGAATGGTGCTTTTAGGCAAAACCTGGTCCCTTGCAAGGCGGACACAGCTTTGCTCTAATTCATAAAATCTTGCACAGATGGGAAGGTTTTCAAGAAGGAGGTTTAATGCTGTTGGTTTAATGGTAAAGGTAGAGACTGCCATAAAGGGAAGAATAGCCAAAAAAATAGGGCAGCTGTAAAACAGTGCTGGTTCAAGAAATCTCAAAATAAAGTGCCATCTTGGTGCTTTTTCTACACATCTGAACACCTTGTAAACAGGAAGGGGTTAAGCCCTGGAAAGGTCTAGTCGTATCCACCCCAGTACTGACAGAAAAGAACAAAAAATATCCTCAAATGTTAAAAATAATAATGAAAAATCCAAAACAAAATAAAAAAAGCCAAAAAAAAAAAAACCAACAAAAAACAAATCCCACAATGCCAAGATGATCTTGTACAATCAGAACCTTAATCAGAGCTGAAGTCTCTCTTCAGTGACTTGCCTGATGTCACACAGCAAGTGTGGGACAGAGAGGGGATCCTGTGTCATGTCCTGCCCCTGGGGCTGGATTTCTTCATCCCAGGATCACTTTTCCCAACCCACCACTCGCCCTCACCAAATTACACCAAATTCCCTGGAATATCAAGATGCCAACTGGAGTGAAAGCACAGCTCTTACCACTTTGCCAGATGCTGTATTTGCTCCCCAGCCCTGCTGTGGGACCACATCACCAAGGCTGGATGTTGATGGGCAATCACCAGACTCCCTCTGGAGCACTCCCTTTGTGTGCCTCGATGGCTCCATCGGTTTAGGGCAGGAACATCACCAGTGCAGATCATTCCCAGGCAGTCACTCACCTTTCACTGAGAGCTGGTAGAGCATTTTATCCCCTTCACAGACACACTCATAGACTCCAGCGTCCTCCTCGGCAGCGCTGCGGATTTTCAGGATGTGCCTCTTCCCCACAATTTGGAACTCGTATTTTTCACTGGCCTTGAGCTCCTTCCCATCTTTCATCCACTTCACGGTGGCCTCTGTGTCTGAAAGCTCAGCTTGGAGTTTGGCTTCCTCCCTCAGCCGAGTGGAGACTTTTTCTACGTCTTTGGTCTTGTTGGTGAATCTCACTGCAGCTCCTGCCAGGACAAGAGGCTTTGTTATTTCAAGTTACATGGTAACAACTCATCCCTGATACGGATCTGCTGTAGTCTGTGAGATCTCTGACGGCATTAGGTCCTGTTCCTGCCCTCACATTCATGTCAGTTCTGTGCATTCTTTCCCAGTTCAGAAAACATGATCTGTTTTTATTGCCAGAGCGACCAAGAAGAAAGAAAAACAACACATTTTTTTCTACTGATAAATAATATTCTAAACATGTTTCTGCAGAGATCTTCTCCTGAGCCAGACACATCCTTCCAGAATAAAGGATTCATTCTGAATTCATTGTGTTTTGCCCTGCAATATGGTAGGTACAGATGTTACTGTCATTTCATAGAGGAAACCTTGATCTTAAATCAAGTTCCAGCATACTAACTTGTATATCCCACACATGACAGACTAGAAAATCTACAAGAAGAGCTTTGTTAGCAATGAATGCTCTTTTACTTTTGAAATATTATTACAGTCAAAGAGATCAGCCAGACCTAGAGCTGAAATTACAACAAAGGTAAATTAATGGCAGATTTGGTGACAGAATCCACTGACAGATGGTGGTGAACGCTATCAATTTGACAGAAATTCCTGAGCTGATGTGAAGCAATCTAGTTCAGACACCACCAGCTGGCCAGATCAGCTCACTCTGAGCTGTCATGTGAGGTCATTGCCAGGACACACATTAACCACATGACACAACCTCAGGTGCTTCGCACAGACCAAGGAAAGCCTCCAGCCCCAGTTTTAGTCCTCAGGTCCCAGCAACCACCCCTTGACTTGGAGAAGAATGGATAGCAATGACAATAAATACCTCTCACTCTCATCTTGGTGCTGGTCTCAACGTCACTAGCAACAAATTTCACTTCTGCCCCATCATCTTTCTTGGTGACATTTTTTATGACCAGGGTGTGAGTGGTGTGGGTTCTGTTAATGATGTGGGTCTCACTTTCCTGTAAGACTTTGCCATTCAGGTACCAAGTGCCGGAACATGTCTTGGTCAGATCAACAGTGAACAGGGCATCCCCTCCAGGTGCAACTTCAGCTGTTGTCAGGGGGTTTTTCACAGCCAGGACAGGTTCTAGGGAAGAACACACCTCTGAGAATGAGACTGTCATGCTGGAGGATACCTCATCTCAGGAACCAAATTGTCAGGGCACACAGCATGAGAGCATGAGAATAAATTAACATGAGAATAAATTAACGCAGCCTTATACAATTCTCATGCACTGAAGGAAATGCATGTATGGTCTAAAGGATTTGTTTCCTTCAGTTGAAGGTAACTGACCTCCAGAATCTTATTTTTGCAGGTCTAGAAAAACAGACGTATTTTACGGATATTCTTTATCCCTAAAACGTGTAAAGGCATAGGCCAGAAACACCCAAGTCCCCTACAAATGTGCTATTCATTGAATAGTCAGTATTATTCTTAGATTTCAGAAGGAGGGATTTCTAGATATCCCTAAGAGTCAGTTCTAAATATTCTAGGACAATACAGGCATGTTCAGACAGTGAGGACAAGGATGACACAATTACAAGGCACGTTATGATCAAAGTTTGTGTGGGTTTTCAACATCTGCACAGATATTTTCTAGTGCAGCGATTCAAAGGAAGAAATCCCATTTCACCCAATGATTCTATGGGCACATTGGTACCCTAGAAATAAAGCAAAACCCCTGGATTTCTTCTAGAAACTATTAGATTGAAGAGAGACTGGCTGGAACTTGGTTTTCATGATTATTTGATCACCCATAAATATTCTCTAGGTGCAAGATCAATATGTCATGTCTACATATTGAAAATATACCATAAGAACATCCCAATTTTTCTTTTCATTGCAGGTTCAGAAGAAGCATTTACAGGTTTAAGGTGCATAGCAGGGAGCTCTGCCTCTCCCACAGCCTGATGTGGGATATTGGAATATAAACACACCCACAGCCCTACCACAGAAACCCCACCACCATCCCTGGGGCGGTCTTGGACTTTTTCCTTCCTCCCTTTGGTGAAGGCCGGTGATTGACTTGCAGCAGGAGAAACAGAAGTGAAGGCAAAGAGGATTTTCTGGGCTATTGCTCCACCCTTAAGGTCAAGGGAAATGTTTTCAAAGCACCCACGTGTCCAAACGCCCCGTTTTGTGCCGGTTTTGTGCTCACCGAGGTGCAAGCTCCCAGGGAACTCCAGGTAGGGGCTCTGTCCGTAGGCGTTGACTGCGGACACTCTGAACTGGTAGTCAGCCTCTTCTGGCAGGTTGCTCACGGTGAGCTCGGGGCCGGGGACGTGGGACTCGTGGCACCTCACCCAGGTGAAGCCGGTGAGTTTCTTGCGCTCCACGATGTATCCGTCGACTGGAATGGGCCGGTCCATCCTCGGAGGGGACCATGCCAGTGTCACTGAGGTTTCTGTTTTATTTTTCATCACAGGGTCAGTTGGGGGTTGGGTGGGAGGTTTTTTGGGAGCTGCACAATGGAAAGAAATAAAACAAAGCAGAGCAGTGTGTTACATCAGAGTGGAAACGCCAAAATAGCTTACACTGGACTAAAAGTTCATCTTGCTTAATAAACCTCCATAAAAGAGATGTGAGATGGAGAAGCAAGAAAATGGATGGAAGATGCTCTGTGCCTGCTTCACATAAAGATCACAGAACTGTCATCATCCAGGATCAAATCCAAACTTTGATGTCCAATACTTGTATTGCACAGGTAAACATATGTGATTTCTAAACAATATTAAAACTGTCAACACAATCAGAGAGTCTTCAACAAATATTTTTTAGACTTAAATCTTCAGTGCTGGATACAGACCCACACTTCTGCCCTTCACTGCTCCTGGACAATGCCAACCAACACACAGCTTCTTATTTTCACTCGGAAGATGGGTAAAACCATCAGATGTTCAAATCTTTTAAGAGTTATGGAGAACTCAGCTTGTCACATAGGCTTGAATGTTCTCTGCAGCCTCTTTCATCTGGGTATCTGTCCTGCTCCTGAATTTTATGCTACCCCCCTCAGAAATTGTAACTTTGTCTCCCAAGAGTGATATCATTTGGGATCTTTGTTTTACTAATTTATGCAGAACCAGCTTTTGAGATTGGGGAATTAACTTCAAAAGGAAATGACAAAGATGTGTCCTCACCATGAGAACCTACTATTGAGGAGGTGTGGCTTTTTTATGGAACCTGAGCTTACAAACATGTTCCTGCAGGTATTTGCATAATGAATATTTATTTTCACCCTTTCATTCCTCTTGAAGCCTTTAGAGAAGGCCCAAGTGCCATCAGGATTATTCACTACATGCTGCCACTGATATGGTCAAGAGGAATTATCTGATGTGCTCTAGTTACACCTCTACTGACCTGGCACAGGATTAATTTCATTTAATTCTGGCAATCTGAAAGGTGTCTGGGTTAAGTCAGTCAACCGAACTCCAGCTGATCACTCCATGTGATCCCATGAGCAGCACACTCAGGAGCAATGAATCCAACTCAAAGAAGGTGTGGGAGGAGGGTGAAACAATCACACAGTGGGCATACTCAAGAATTCCTGACTGTAGATGGAGTCTGTTGATGAGTCTAAACTAAAAACTGAGCTCTGGGACAAGTGATCTCCTTTCTGCCTCAGTTTCCCCATCTTTAAAACGGGCGTGGTAACAACGTAAGACGACAAATAACACACAAATATTGCCTGTACATTATAAAAGATATCAGAACAGCCAACACCAATCTCACCCACCTAATTGAAAAATACGTGGACATAGTACACAGGATTCTCCAAGCAGTAAATTTGATATGCACAAAGTGTAAAAATAGGAAATCTCAACGCGATACGCTTTTCCTTCCTTACATAAATAGACACAGAAGTGTTTTGGGGTGCACAGTTACCAGCCTGTCAGTAACTGCTGGTCACAGATGTCAGAGGTCCCATTAGGGTAACATTAAGCTGAACACTAAGCCCTGGAATGAAATCTCTTGACCTTGCCATCAGAAATGGTAGTGCAATATTTTCTTCAGCAATACCTGTTTGCAGGAAGGCAGCTTCTTATAATTTTTATTCCATGAATCAACACTTTCTTCATCATTTAAACAGCAGAGTCTGAAATCAAATTCGGCTTTACTGTTCCCATTGTGTAGGTGCTTGTTTGGATGTTACAGTTTTACAAGCACCTTAAAAACTGTCACAAAGGCAAACGTGACAGTTTCCTTATTTTTTCCTCATTTTAGTTCAGTGGCATCAAAATGGCCAAACTAAGTTTAGATAACACAGCAGTTATATATCTTTTAAATAAAAGATTCCTTTTTGCCACTGACCGATTGTAGTGGTGGGAGAAAAGAACTAATCTTCACAAACTGTGACTGGAGTGGATGATTTGTTCATATATGAACTAGAACTGCAACAGAGCCAGAAATCACATGTATTTTTGAATTAAATAAAGCAGATTTTGCCTGGGAAATGCACTGTCATCAAAATAATGCCAAATAAAATTAGGCAACTTCACCAAAATTTCATTTCAGGTCCAGTCTTGATGATGTTGCACCAGCTGCTACTGCTCTGTCAAGTAAGATACATTTGTGCTATGTTCTTTCCCCAGCACTGCTTTTATCCAAATAAACCATGGATGCTCCATCCCTGGACAATCTTGGTCTAATGAAAAATGTCCCTGCCCTTGGCATGAGGTGGAATGAGATGATCCCATCCAACCCAATCCATTCCGTGACTTTACAGATATCCTCTCTGTTTTGATCCCTCCAAACATCTCATAACATTCACGGTCAGGCTGTTGGCTTTTTGTGGCAGACATCCAACCTTCAGCTGGCTTTGGACACCAAAATTATCATGGCGGTACTTGAAACAACAATGTTGCCACGGGAGCAGCCATGAGAAGACACAACACCAAGGCCAAACAAAAGAGAAGCTTACTGGTCACAGTGAACTGGGTGGAAGTCCTGCTTTCATCGGCCAGGAAGGCGATCTCACCAGCATCTTCCATCTTACACTCCCGGATGGTCATGGTGTGCTGCTTGCCGGAGCGCGTGATGGAGATTCGGTCGCTGGGTTTCACTTCTTCTTTGTTTTTCAGCCACCGGATGTTCTGGCAGTCGTTGTCCAGCTCCACGCAGAAGGTGGCTGTGTCGTTGATGAAGACAGCAGTTTTCCGTGGAAGTTTTTTGATGATGTTCCCTTCAAATAACAGAATAGCCATAGTCAGCAAATGGCAGATATTAAAAGCTTTGGCAATGCTGGATCGTCCAGACTGAAACAGGAATAGTTCACACCCAATCTAAACATCATAGACACCATGCAGACACCTGAAAACAAATTCCAAAGCTCTGGGTCACATAGAACAGACGACCCCAAGGAATAATTTTGGCCTTCAAAGAGAAAAAAGCCAATCTTTTTTGACTGCAGTCACTCAGGTTTCTTGTCTACCAAGCAGAGCTAGTTGCTGGGTAAACACAAAATATGCATAGCCTTGCATGGGAACAGATTTGACAGCTTTCATTGCCAACATATGCTGGGAATTTAAATTAAAACTTTGCTGAAGTAGGTCAGTCTTAAGCCAGACAGGTCTTTCCTCTGCCTTTAGGATTTCACCTCCATCAAAGCAAGTCACATAACCAACATGGCAGACACAGACATTACTTGAATTAATGAGAAAGACACTGAAAATCTCAGGTTTCTTCTTAGTGCCAACACAGAAATTCACATTGAATGAATTTATGTCCTTTCCAAGTGACTGTTATTACCATGACCTACTAGGATAACCTCAAAGCTATAAGATGCGAGTATTCACAAAAGATTGGGAAAACCAGAAGGAGACCACCCCAAGTGACCAGTGGTGACTGGCTCCAGCTCCAGAGCAGTCCCTGAGAAGTGACAGAGGCTTTACCCATGCAGGTCACACCTGGATCTGTTTAATGAACAGCAATGCTGAACTCCCTCATGAAATAACAGATCTGGCACAGGTTTCACCACAAGATTCTAAACTTGATTCTCTGCTTATCCTCCTCCTTGACCTCTCTGCCCTCAGCAGTGTCCTCATCCCACAGCCCTTTACCTCCAGCCAAGCTCTCACATTGTCCCATCACCACCTTGCTCTCTCCAATCTGCTCCCAGGGCAGGCACAAGGCTCCCCCAGGAAGGCTCTGCCTCCTTTCCCTCCAGAGAGCTCCACCTGGCTCAGTCACTCTCTTTTGGATGGAACATACCATTATAGCACAAACAAGTGAAAGAAATACCAGCTGTCCTACTGGGACCAAACACACAGGGGTGGGCTGGTCCAGACCTAGTGGAAGGTGCAACAAAAAGATGTCTCTCTGAACTCTCCCAAGTCTCTGGACTTAATTTCCCTTTCTGCATCCACCTCTGTGTACTTCCAGCTCCTTACTGGTGGTACAAAAAGGAATTTGCATGAGGATGCACATCACACATCTGTCTTGTAGCAGTTTATATATGAAGAACTCCTTCTGGTTTCATTGGGTGTATGCTCAGGTTTCAAAGGAGTCAGGACAAGATCAATCCTGTTGCAGTGGCAGTCTCCAGTGCCTGCAGCTCTGGGGTTTGTGTCTACTCACTGAGAGACACCCACACCATTCCCAAATACCCTGCTCCCACCTCAGTCTGAACCACCAGACTCAGTACACCTGGACATGGCCATCCACACTTTGTCCTTTCCTTGTCCCCTTTCCAAACTCCAGAGAGGAGCTCCAGCTGCCAGGGATCTGGAGCTTGGATGCGTTTTCCAATCTCAACCATGCTGGTGTTGACTGCAGCCTGCACCCCACATCTGGCCACACACCACAGCTGCTAAACCCCCTTTCCATTGTGGTCAGCACCACTCCTGGACAGGAGTCACCACTCTGTTTGCTGGGCACCAGACAAGATGTGTGTGACAGTGCCAGGGGATGCATCTGATGCTTGGGGTCATGTTAAGGTGATACCTCAGGATTTAGCTTTTATATTTCTCAGATCCTGTACTGCTTTAGTATAGAACTCAAACTCCACAGCCTGTCAGCCGCTGTTCTCCCATTTTATTCAGACAAAACAGTTCCTCTCTAGGCCTGAAGCTCAAGGGCACCTCACTGTCTCAGGCCCTGAGGGATGCAAACAGTGAATTGAGGGGGCAAACTTGGGGTAAATGGCTTCATTACCTGAAGCTGTAATTGGAGGATTGACCCCTGGTATGTAAATGGACCAAACTTATAAAAATATGAAAACTCATGGCTGTTGTCAGCCTGCCTTGGGTGTAGCCCCTCAGAGGCTTTTGACTGCCCAAGGTGTTCCCACTGAGGGCCTTTAATAAATACCCACTTTTATTCACTTTATCTTGTCTAGCCTGTTTCAGGTAAACACCCCAAGGCATCAAAGAGAAGTCTACATGGCCAGACTGGAGGTGAAGGAAGTTTCTTTCAGGGTGGGTTCCCACTGGGTGACATCTTGTGCAACACAGTCTGTCCCTGCTGCGTGGCCCTGTGTCCAGAGACACCCTGGCAGGAGCCCCAGGGACCCACTGACCACATTTTCACACCATAAGGGACTCTGCTTCTCTTCAGTGCCAACACAGACGGGGTAAATTCTGCTCACAAGGTCAAATCTGGAGTCTCACATGTGAATCCCACGCTTTTGACCAATCTGAAATACAGAGAGCCTTTCCTACCTTGGACAGACAGCTCTGCAATGGTCCTGCTCCCTTCCTTCATCTCACAGATGTAAACAGCATCGTCGTCCGTGGTGACGTTCTGGACGGTGAGCCGGCGGTAGGTGCCCTCCTCCTCGATGTTGTACTTCTTGCTCTGCTGGAGCTTGGTCTCCTCCTTGAACCAAGCTGTCTCAGTCCCAGGAACGGGCACTTCACACTGGAAGGTGGCAGATTCCTTCTCCCTCACTTCAAGATCCTTCAGTTTTGCCTTGAAGGGTATGGTGGGTTCTTAAGAGGGGAAAAAAACAGAAAGGAGAAGTAAGAGTTTATGATGAAAGTAGGTTTAGATGGGAATTTAGGAAGAAATTCTTCTCTGTGAGGGTGGTGAGGCCCTAACACAAATTGTCCAGAGAAGCTGTGGCTGTCCCACCCCTGGAAGTGGTCAAGGCCAGGCTGGAGTAAAAGGCCTCAAGAGGAATCCTTCTAGAATTGGTTTAACGACAAACCAGCTGGTCATGGGACAGAGCACGGGGCAGAAATTCCAGGTGAGAGAGAGCAGCTGAGCTGGTGCAAGAGCCAATGTTTTAAGGTTCTTACAGCAGAAATAAGCTCAGCTGAGTGATCTGAAAGGGCACAGAGAGCTGTGAGGTGGCTGGGCACAGTCAGATGTGGGGGAAAGCACAAAAGGAGGAGTTTTCTGTTCTCCCCACCAGCACCAAAGGCTCTCTATCAGCTTTTGTCAATGATAATAAAAGAAATAGAGCCTCAGCCCTCCTCCAGCAGTGCTCTGTCTGAGGGCCAAGCCCAAGCATAGATCAAACACACAAAGCAGCTGCATGACAGTGAGGGAAGTCATTTTATCAACTGAACAATGTCGAATTCCAGCAGCAGCTGCTCTGTGACATCACCCTGATACCCCAGCCCTAAAGTGGAGAATGGGGAGCTGGACTGAAGAGGACAGCCAGCAGCCACAGTCATGTCACCCACTTGGATTAACCAGTGCTGAAACATTGCTCATGCTTCGTGAGAGATCATGCCTTGATATGTACCTTCACCTTCCAATAACGGCTGTGCCAGCTCCCAGCTGGTTTTTGTGACTTCATCCTGCCTCACCACCTTTCACAGTAAAGAATTTCTCCTTGATATCTGATATAAACCTCCCCTCTTTCAGTTTAAATAAGCTACCAGGCTCTAAAGGCTTGACAGGACACCTGGAGGGAGAAATGTGGATTACCTGAGGCTAAAACCTGACTGATACAACATACAATATGTCCAGGAACAGGGAGGTGACACTAACTCACCACGTCAACTTGGTAATTTTTTTTTAAATGATGTGCCTAAATACACCTCAGTTTAAGGCAAGTCAAAGTCTTGCCTTGAAAAGCCTTCAGCTATGGTTACACAAATCTGCTCTGCCTGCTCTCCAGATGGTGATTATCCTGATTTTTTTCCCTGATTTTTTTTTTTTTCAGGGTTAGATAAAATATTATTATGAAATCCTTTATTCTGAGGGTGGGGAGGCCCTGGCACAGGGTGCCCAGAGGAGCTGTGACTGCCCCTGGATCCCTGGAAGTGTCCAAGGCCAGGTTGGACAGGGCTTGGATCACCCTGGGACAGTGGAAGGTGTCCCTGCCCATGGTAGTAGTTGGAAGGAGAAGAGGTTCAAAGTCTCCTCCAAGCCAAACCATTCTGGGATTCTGTGAGGCCAGGAAAGCTTTGATCAGAAGGACACAGTCCTCTGGCAGGGGGGAGGCTGGAGCTGCCACTGGGAACACACAGACCTGCACAAGGGCCAAAAAGAAACACAAGCTGCACCTGAGAAGCACACAAGTGAATTCCCATACTTGGAGCAGCTGGCCATAACATTAACCCCTCTCCCTTTACAGTCACTAAGCAGTAAATTGAGGAAAAAAAAAAAGCTATTCCAGGAAAAATTTCTCAAACCTTCAAGCACAGAAGGGTTGGTTGAATCTCACAAGCACGTTGCAGTACCAGCACTGCTCTCCCAGCCAGGGAAAGGCAGTGAAGGGCTATCTTTGGCAGCTTGGGGTCACAGATATCCTCTGAAAACAACTCTGCTTTCGTCCTGCTGACATGTGCACACACGTCTTATCTCCCTCTGAATGGAGCTGCGCAGCGACAGCAGCTGATAAACTGAACTGAAGCCTGGGACAAACCCAGCCCAGGGCTTCTGGAGATGTGAGAGTGGTTCCAAATCCCACCAGCCTCCTCCTCCTCAGCATATCTTCATGCACTTTACGAGGTCTAGAATGTGCCTGGTCAGGCAGAAGGGGTTGATTTGGGTCAGAGGACTACAGAAGGACCACGGGTCTCCTGAGAGCAGGCATCCCAAATCACCTGGCACATAACCACCACCACAGCCAGGTCAGAGAGGTGAAAATGAGAGAGAAAATAAGAGAACTGCCAAAATCTGTCCACTGGGAAAAATGTGAGAGGCACAGCAGAGCAAAACACTGAGGGAGCACAGAGCAAGAGCAGCTCATGGAATTAACAGGAAGCTGCAAGAACTTAAATCAGAGATTAATTTTTCTGCTTATTCTTGAGAAGGTATTTCTCCTGTCTGTCCTAGGCTTTTTTGTTTGGTCCATAACAAGCAAACTGGCAATGAGATGATGTTATTTTTAAAAAGCAAGCCCTGCTAACACATATTGTGCTAAGAATAGGTGCAGCCTGCAAAGACACCCAATGTTTTCTTAACCTTATCAAGGCACATCTGCCCTCTGGAACTCACTTATTCACTTCCCTACATTTCCTCTTTCTTATTGCTAGAATTCTCACATTTACTATTCCAGAGGCAAGTTTTCCCTCTGCCTAATGAAAATGATCCAGGAAAGGTAAGAATATGAAAAATCCTTCCACAGTAAGAGCTGGCTAAAGGTGGATTGAGAAGCTTCCACTGTCTTGAGCCTTTGATCTTCCTAATTACTGTGCTTTCCAAATTTCCTTTCTATCTCCTCATTTCTCAAGTTGTAATTCTCTTTCAGATCTCCATTTTTGACAGTAACCATCCAAAATCACATCTGATCAGAGGGAAAATGAAGTGGTCTCAGCACCAGGGTGTTTTTACCATCTCCATCCTGTTTGGATGGAAACCTTTAACCTTCTCACATCCAGTATCTGGTTACTTTATTCAGGGGCTCCAGTGAACATGGCTTGGCCCAGGGTGGAGACCTGAATTCTGTTCTCACCAGCTTTACATACAGCCTAGGGAAATCTCCAAAGCCTTCAGGAAACCCAAGCTGGTTATTTATGTTCCTCCCATCCTCCCCACTCCTTTATTCGTTAAAGGTTTATTCTTGGGAAGAATGTCCCCAATTCCTTTTACAGCTCACATCTCAGTGTATGGATTGTGATTTTATCTCTGTTCCAGACACATTTCTGAATCTAATCAAGCTTCAATTTTCCTCATTTAGAAGAGTGATTCTCTGCCCTGTAGCCTTCTTTTGAGATTTAAGTCTGATTCACTAAATTTAATTTAGAAACAGCTCAAAATTATTTTTTTTTCCCCAGCTCAGTGATCTTTAAGGCCCAGGGTCAACAGTGTTCACAAATGTTGGGTTCCTGGGTCCTTAGGTCCCTAGAATATAGACTGGCAGAATACAGGAGGCTTCCTATGGATGTCCCATCCCTGGAAGTGTTCAAGGCCAGTTTGAACAGGGCCCTGAGCAACCTGATCTAGTGAGTGGCATCCCTTCCCATGGCAGGGGGTTGGAACCAGATGTCCTTTAAGGTCCCTCCCAGCCCAAACCACTCTGATTCTAAGGGTGGCAGCTTGGAGAATTCAGCCTCTCCCACATGGCTGAGCAAAGAGAAGTTTGCATGGCAAGATGATCTCCCTCCCTAAGCCTGATAGCAGATGAGCCAATGGCATCACCAGTGACACAAACAACAGAATTAAACTTTCTTCACTGCTGCATCATTCTGACCTGCCTTGGGAGGGCTGAGAAGAACTTCTGGTGACACAAAGGAGAGTCATTTATCAGGGCCTAATTATAACCAACACACGTAGATTTTCCATGGCAGCCTTGGCCTGGACAGCCTTGGACGTGGTAACAGCATAAAAAAGAAACAATCCATAAACATTTCCACTTCAGCCTCCTGACTCAGAGGCAGCTCCGGACAACGGACACGGATCAATAACCTTTTCCCATGCTTGCTCCCAGACTGGCTGCTTCCCTCTCTTTCCCCATCTCCTTTGGAACAGGTTGCAGCCATCTGAGCAGTAAGATAAGCACAGGCAGAGCAGGGGGTGTTTGTTTTGGCAAGGTGTTGGGCAGGGAACTGAGCTTGAGCCATCCTCAAAGTGATCACCCACCCAAGGGCCAGGACTGATCTTCAGCTCTGAGTCCCAACTCATGAGGTAATCACGGCTTTATGGAACAGGACAAATGCCCTTCCCCACGCCACTCAGCACCTCCAAGGGACAGCCATGGGTGGGACAAGTGCCAGCGAGTTCCACGGATCAGGTGTCCCTGATGGACACAGGGATGGAGCCACTGATGGGAAAGACTCTGAAGGTAAAAGGAGATGTCCAAAAAAGGGAAAACAGAAAATCAAATAATACCTGAGGGTCTTAAAGATGAGTATGAAACACAGATAATGCCTGCTTATTTGGGTTTCTAATTTATTTCGCTGCCAGTGAAAAATCATCACTTTTACCACTTGAGTGTCAAAATCTTTTGTCTCTGACAGCTCATTTACAGGTGCTGCCTGGGTTGCAAACTGCCTACTGCCCCCTTGCCAAATGGGAGAGCAGCTGGAAAATGTAGAGCTCCTGGATTGTTCAAGGCCAGGTTGGACAGGGCTTGGAGCAACCTGGTTTGGTGGAAGATGTCCCAGCCCATGGCAGGAGGTTGGAATGAGATGATTTTCAAGATCTCTTTTAATGCAAACCATTCTGGGATTCTATAAAAAATGTGTGCCACTTTTTTTGCCATTCTGAGGAACTTGGTTGGACCTTCACAAGTGTGGAGTGACCCTGTGAAGGTCAGTTCTTCACCACTGACTATGGCAAACGAAGGCATCCTGGACCTGGGAGGTTTTCTGGGAGCATTCAAGGAACACAGACTATCCAGCAGCTCAAGCTGGGAAAAGGCTGAAGAGCCTGGCAAGGACAAGGCTGCTGGTGGGTCACTGTACAGGAAAACTGAGCTGCACTGTAACTAGAGTTGGACTAGGTCCCCCAGGGGAGCCAAGGCAGCCTGAAACACTCATCTTGTAGGGAAGGGTTTCCACTACTACTGCAAATGGCATGTCTGAGTAAACCCCATGGTGACCACAAACCCAGATGTGACTAAAGCCTGGAGGGTGAGACGGGACTTTGGCAGTCACTGACCCAGAGCATGGGGACAGATCTCTGACATCACTGTGAAACCAGGACTGACAGAGCCTTAGGGATCTGGCGCAACTCAGCTGCCCCATAACCGGCCAATCCTACGTCATCCACCCGTGCCTGGCACCTCTTTACTGCTCTTCCTAAAAACCACCAGCAATGGAACTCTCTCCCCAGGTCATCTATTCAAGTGCACAAGCCCTTTCCACCAGGAGAACTTTATTCAGACCTAAACACAGAATCACAGAATGACTGGGTTGGAAGAGACCTTCAAGATCATCGAGTCCAACCCAGCCCTAACACCTCAACCAGACCATGGCACCGGGTGCCACATCCAGTCTTTTTTTAAACACATCCAGGGATGGTGACTCCACGACCTCCCCAGGCAGAACATTCCAGTACTTTATTATTCTTTCCAGGAAGAACTTTTTCCTAACATCCAACCTAAATTTCCCTTGGCTCAACTTGAGGCTGTGACCTCTCGTTCTGTCAGTGCTGTCTGGTGAAAGAGACCGACCCCCACCTGCCACAACCAACCACCAACCACCTTTCAGGAGGTTGTAGAGAGTGATAAGGTCACCTCTGAGTCTCCTTTTCTCCAGGCTAAACAACCCCGGCTCCCTCAGCCATTCTTTGTAGGGCTTGTGTCCCAAGCCCTTCACCAGCCTCGTTGCATCCTCTGGATGCGCTCAAGGGTCTCAAGATCCTTCCCAAACTGAGGGGCCACACACTCCCCTGCAGCAGTTTGCAGGCAGAAATTCTGGCAAACCCCCACCCCAATTCAAGGGTGTGTCCTTGAAGGCACGTCCACCCCTGGTGAGAACCACAAGCACCCACCTTTGACAGTGACGAGCACGGAGCTGTAGGTCTGCCCCGCCAGGTTGGAGGCCGTGCAGGTGTACAGCCCATTGTCCGTCTGCTTGCAGAAGAGGATCTTCAGCACAAAGTTCTCCTGGTCATCCTCATAGATGACGTGCCGCCGTCCTTCCAAAATGACCTCGTTGTCCTTCTTCCACACAATCACGGGCTTGGGTTCGCCCGTCACGTAGCAGCTCAGCTTGGCGTGCTTGCCCTCCGTCACGCTGCACACGCGTGTCAGCGCCCCAAAAGTGGCGTTGCGGGCCCCTTTGGTCAGTCCCGCTGCCCGCTCATAATCCCGGGACAGGCTGTAGCCGATGCTGGACAACCCCTCTACCGCGGAGTAAGATTGGGCAGAGGCTGAGTCGAGAGTCCCATGGGAGACGTCCATCTTCCTGATCTCCTCCCGCCTCTTCTGCAGGTGGGACAGCAAGGAGGCCGTCTTGCCACAGCTGCTGTCCAAGTTGCTGCTGCTGCCTGGGTTGGAGGAGCCGTGCGTTTCCACCACCAGCGCGGCCGAGGCGCTGGCGGAGCCGATGAGGTTCTCTGCCCGGCAGGTGTAGGTGCCACTGTCCCCCAGCTGGGCACACTGGATGGTGAGAGCGTTGGACTCCCCGGCAGACTCGATCTGGACTCGTCCAGCATCTGCCTTGTTCCTCAGGTATCTCCCATCCTTCTCCCAGTTCACCGAGAGGGGAGGGCTGCCCTGGACTTTGCATTTGAACATGGCATCTTCTCCCAAGGTCACTTTGATGTTGGAAGGTTTCTGGATGAAATAAGGAGCTGACTCTGTGACTGTGGTCTCCTCTCCCACTTTGATGCTGACAGCAGCAAACGCCTCCCCGATGGTGTTCTTGGCCCGGCAGATGTACTGACCGCTGTCCTCCAGGCTCAGGTCGTAGATGGTTAGCCGATACAAATCCCCATCCTCTGTGGTTTTAAACCTTCCCCCTGACTGGACTGGAAGTTTATCCTTCTCCCAGCTCACCACTGGGATGGGGTTTCCAACAATCTGGCAGCTCAGGGTGGCATCCTTCCCTACAGACACCATAAACGCCTTGGGCCGGGTCAGGAAGCGCGGGACCCCGCTGAGTGAGCTGTAATCCATCCTGGCTTCCTTCCTAGAGGGGGACAGAGAAAAGTGTCAGGAGAGAGAAGGACAGAGACTGCAGCCAAAGAATTGCTGCACTCCCGTGGCACCAGGGTGCTTGTCACCTGGAACCCCCATGTTTCCAATGCCCTTCTCATTGTGGGTGAGAAGGCCTTGGAATATTACTGGTCTTGAGAACTTCTTATATTTGGGGTTAATGAACTGCTGCATAAGGTAGCTAGCTCACTTCCCCACAGAGCTTCTGGGCAAAATAGAACTCTTTGAGCTGCTCATACAGAAGGAACATGATGAATCCTTTCATCTGTGACACTCAGAAAGTGACCTGCACTAAAGCTGTGTGACAGATGGGATGGTTCTGCAAACACAAGGAATAAACTGGACACTAAATTCTGAGAGATAGATGCTGCCTCCATCACAGAATCACAGAATGGTTTGGGTTGGAAAGGACCTTGAAGGTCATCTCATTCCAAGCCCCTGCCATGGATAGGGATGTCACCCCCTAGACCAGGTTTTCCAAGAAGATTTGAGTGAATCATTCCTCTTCAAGCTGCTTAACCTCTTTGGCCTTATGAGGCCAGATTCCTCTGTCCTAGCAGCTCCTGTCTGAGCCATAGGAATTGTCCTACTCCAGGTGAGCACATCCCTGCTTTTTCACACTCAAAGTGCTGCACACAGCAGAAGAACCAGGGCTCTGAGTGCTGTAACTCAGAAAGGAAATAAACCCCAGCCAGTGAGACAGAAATATCCTTCTTAATCCTACGGCAGTTTGGCTTCCCTGCTGGCCACACATCCACCCACTCTCTCACCCAATGGCAGGTGCTCTCACCATCTCCCCCCAGTTCCAGGAGAAATCAATAGGAGCAGGCCAAAACCCTGCTGTAATTTCTTAAATCACTATTTCTCCATCCTCCTCCAGCTCCTGTTAGTGCATTTAGCTTAATGTGCAGATCACTGATGGCAGCAGGGAGTGAGGGCTGGATCGACCTGCTGCATGACCTTGGGAAAAAAATCACTTCTTTTCCCAATTTCTTGTCTCTCCTCCCACTTCTTCATGTCAGGACAGGGATAATTATAATTATTATTGTAATATGCACAAATAATTATGTGCAGTGTATATGACAATATACTTGGTGAGATAAATAACAAATTGGACATGAAAATTAATATGAGATTACAAATTTCATTCCATTTATGCTGCTGAGGATTGAAAAATACTAGTTACCATTAAATCCATATACTGGAAAAGGGGTGGTACAAAAATACAAAATGGCTATACAAAAATACATAATCTGTTATGAGAGCTCACAAAACTTTTGGAAAACTGTCTCAGCCACAGGGTGGGATTCTTGGGGTTGTCCTGGGCAAGGCCAGGAGTTGGTCTCCATGGTCTTTGTGGGTCCCTTCCGGCTCAGGATATTCTATGATTTTGTGACCATTATTAACATTCAAGATGGTATTGCTGAGCCAAACTTCCAACTTCATCTGGGTCACAGATCTGAGGCAAAGCCAAATGTAATTTTTCTACATTTAACAGAAAATATACACCATGTCCTGTCCTATCCTGTGTCTCCCACTCCAACAAACACACAAAATTACAAGAAGCAGTCAAAGACTTTTTGTTTTAGATGAGAGTGATCCTTTCTAAACTAATTCAGTTTTGGTTGTTTTTGTTTCCTGGGATTGAGCAAATTTCATTATCCTACCACAGACCTTTAGAAAATAAAGAAACAGGTTTCAAGCATTAAATCTGGGAAGGAATAAGAAATGGGGAAAATTTACTTTTAGTCAATGCTAAGAGGATAATGAATGACTTGAAGTCATCAGTGCTATGACCAAATGACCTTCAGTTAAGTGGCCACCTTCAATACACAGATCTCTTTTTCTCTTGGTCTCAGACTGGTCTAGAAATCTGTGAATTAGTTTGAACTTCTCTGGACCTCTTTACTACCTCCAACCTGTGCCCTCAGCTGAGCTTTAAAAGGCGCTTTCCATGAACAGTTGTGCAGCTGCAAGCAGAGAAGCTGCATGGATGGTTAGGAGGGGCAGACAGGAGCCTGGGGCTTGAGCCAAAGTACACTGAAGTCAGTGGAAATTTCCACTGAAGTCTATTGATTGACAATCAGAGTCTTCTGCTCATTTGGGGAAGGACCACTTCAATGTTCAGAAGGAGATGCTGAGGTTCAGCTCAGCTCTGGACAGCCCAGCAGAACCATTCTGCATCAACTAAGAGTTAATCAAAACACAGACTCAGAGCACATGTCCCAGAATTTCCCAGCCATTAGCTTGAATTTCAGGCTGCACTGTGCCGTCAAAGCACTTGGATTCTTCCTCAGAAGGCACTGCCATGTCTCACCCTTCCTGGGCTCCTATTGTGTCTAACAGATGCATCACTGATTTATTTCCAGCCTCTCAGTGTCAAAAAGAGCAGAAAAACGGAGCTGCTTCACTTCTCCATCACACTGGTCTCTGCATAACATGCACAAGTGCCTGGAGCACTGAGGTGGTTACAGAGACACGAGAGGAGCTGCTTGGGAACCAGCCAGGGACCTCTCAGCAACCCTCAGCTTCCCTCAACTCACCTGCGTGCTGTTTCCACCACCTGGGCCCCAGGACCCCTTTCTGTGCCTGGAGGAGAGCTCTGCTCTGTTGGAGCACGGTAAGGGCTCTCCAAGCCTGGCTCTTACAGGAGCAGGAATGCTGCTCACTTCCTGAAGTGCATCGTTCTCTCCCTGCTCTTCTGTGCCAAGCTGTGCCCAAACCTGCCCAGGCTGCTCCCTGGTACCCCTGATAGTCGGGAAAAGTTGAAAAACAGGGAAGCTCCTGCACCAGATGCATCTTGGTTTTGCTTCTGAACCAAACCAGTACAGCAAACCCACCCAAGATGCTTCTTCCCAGTGGCCTCAAGGTCCAGTCTCCCTCTCCCACGGCTCCCAAAAACACATCTGGTGGTTCTGCTCACTTCCATCCAATACAAGATCCTGTGTCCACAGACCTCCTAGTGTGGGGTGAAAACCCACATCCCCTGCTCTTACCAACACCTCCAGCAGCTTTCACCATGTGCCCTCACACTCTGAGGTTTTTACACCATTATGAATGGCCAGGATGCCAGAAGAAAACCCAGGGATCAGTGAAAACAGTGTGTACTCATCATTATTTTAGATATTTTTCTAAAATGGAAAGAAAAACCGGGTTTATTCCTTGCTCTGCTGCTGAGTTGCTTTTATAGTGACGAGAAAGATGCTCCAGTTCTTGTATCCTTAATCCCCATCTGAAAAAGGGGGGGAAAAGCTTGTTTTATGGGTGTTGAGAGCATGAAATCCAGTAAGAGGCATGAAATCCTAACCTGCAGCAAGGATGAGGCTGTGTAAGTATCTAACACATCTAACAGGTTAGACAGGCTGCACGAGATAAATTACATTTTATAATTTCAAATGGGATAAATCTCATCACACTGGATTATGATGACAAATAGATTTAGGAGCCAGAAGAGGACAGACTTGTGAATGTACTGAAAGAACAAGATTTAATATTTCTACTGTGTAACTTGTCAGTCAACTTATTCAATAATTACTCTGATTTCAATTGTTTACATGTTCATTCAAACTTCAAAAAATCCCAGTAACTCTGAAACTTTAAAAAAAAAAAAATAGTAACTCTCTGCAAATGCCAGAACAGCTCCCTTGGAAGTGACAGGACCAGCAAAAAAGCATGAATAAACCTAGTCAATGCAAATGCCCTTTCCAATAAATCTCAGACATTTACCAGTGTCATATTTCCCCATGTAATTCCTCTGTGATTAATCATTTGCAGCAGAGATCACATTCCCATCTGGGGTATTTCTGAGCACGCCAAAGGCAAACCGGCAGCACTTATAATTTTGTTTATGTCTTTATTCATTTGGATTTTCCCTGGTTTGTGTTTGGGGAAAGAGGCAGAACTGCACAGAGCTGTCATATAATGCAAATAAACCACTGCCCTGGAGCCAGCATGCAGCTGGTCCAGGCCTCCTGCCACTCCTGTCCCAGCACTGCCAGCATCTGCCCAGCACCTGCTTCCCACGGACAAGGGAACAGTGCCTCACAATGGGAACAGCCACAGAGCTGTCCAGTTCCTGCTGGAGTACTTGGAAGTGGAACTCATCAGCAGGTGGAGAGCCCCAGTGGTGGTGCCACTGAATCCCAGAATGGGTTGGGTGGGAAGGGACCTAAAAGATCATCCTGTGCCATGGGCAGGGACACCTTCCACTATCCCAGGGTGATCCAAGTCCTGTCCATCCTGGCCTGGGACACTTCCATGGATGCAGGAGCAGCCACAGCTTCTCTGGGCAGCCTGTGGCAGGGTCTGACCCTCCTGGGATTCACTGTGCAGTGCTGGCTGATGGGTTGGTTTCACATTGCTTCATCAATGCTGATCTGCACCTGGAAAACATTCCACAGCTTCTGAGAAAGCAGAGGTTCCCCCATGGTAAATTGTCCCCAGGATGTCAGCAGCCTGTGATGAAGCTCTTAGTGTGAGAGAGGATGGGGGTAACAGGTTATTCTCTGTCCAAACCTTTCCATTCAAGGATTAGAAAGATAATCCTGTCCACCAGGACTCAGGGCAAAGAGCAAAAAGCACCATGCAATCCATCTCAGAAAAAAGATAATCCTGTCCACCAGGACTCAGGGCAAAGAGCAAAAAGCACCATGCAATCCATCTCAGAAAATATTCCTGAGACAAAGGTGGATTAGGGTAGCAAAATTAGAGATTTTGGGGACATGATTAAACCTAAGGGATCACCAAGGTCCAAACACAGATCAGAAGCACAGAATTTCTCTCAACACAACATTAAGGCCCATCATGTTCCTGTTTGCTCATTTCCTCAATCCTCTTTTACCCTTTCTTTGCCCAAGTCAAAAATAAGTTGATTTGAGGTAATTTTCTTGCCTTTAGAGTTTATGTTTCCTGAACTTCCTCCACAATGCTAAATTCTAATCCTCTCACTCCTTTTCCTGACAGGAAATGCAGGATTTACAGGGAACCTCCTGTCTCTGAATCCTGAGTTTTCAAAGAACATCACTGAAACAGAAGCTCCAGATAAAAATCAAAGCAGCACCGGTATTACTGTAGTTTACACGACATATCTGCTTGTATTGTTCCATCTAAAAACAGCAGGAAATGGAATCTGTGGGTGGGAAGGGAAGTCCATGAGTTGTCAAATGGGAAGTTTGGCTTTCTTTTGATGTTTAAAATTCTGCTGAGGGGAAACAGCAGTAACCTGGCTGCCCTCTCGCTTCCAGCAGCCTCCCAGGGAATGGACAACTTTGGAATAGCACAAGTGTTCGGCGTCAGCTGCAGGCTGGGTGACATCAGCCAGGCTTTGGTGGGTGCCTGGGAGCCGTCACACCAGACAGGGAGCTCTGGGGGTGAAATGCACACCAGCACAGCCAGTGCTCCCTGCCCATGACATCCCTAAATCGGGGCTCGGCGCGGATTTGCGCCAACGCTCTAATCCAGGGTGGGAGGATTTATCCCGTTCCACCGGAGCAGGAACGGTATCTGTGGCTGAGGAGCTGGGCTCAGGGCTTAGCCTGGGCTACTCTGAATTCCACTTCAGTGAGGGAGAACCGATTTTGGCATGTCCAAAGGTCACTGGAGGAGCAGATGGGAGAGGTTTCTGTGGTGGATCAGAAACCGACTGGAGATGTCGGACACAGAGAACCTGCAGCACACGAAGACTTTGGCAAGGAGCTTCTAACTCAACTCAGAGTAAGGCTTGTCTGCATTCCCTCCCACCCACAGCCTCCACCCTAAGCCAAAATCCACGGGAGATGTTGAGGGAAAGTTCACGGCAGGTCAGGGGCTGACATGGTGTTAAACATGGTGAGCAGCCCTCAGGGAAAAGGAGAAGCTCGAGACAATTCTGACCTTCAGGGTAGGGCCAAATATGCACCAAGTGCCTCACAGGGACCTGCATCCCCTCATACTCCCCCTATTGATCCCTCATCAATAACCTGGATGTTCCCAATGATTGGTAGCAAACAAGGGTTCAACCATTTAGAAAATTCCAACGAGGAGCAAGAACAAATCACGTGGTTTGTGCAAGTCACTGGGCAAGGGGGTCAGATGCCCTCCAGCCACATTAGCAGCACACACTTCATAAAAACCACGAGAGATTCAAGCCATTTAGATGATTTATATGGTTAAAACATTTGTTATCTTTCCTCTCTACAGAGACAGACCTATATGTGTTATAAAACCCATCCCACTTTCAACTACCTGGCCGCAAACCATTTTCCATCAGCACCCTAACAGCTCCAAGAAATTCTATGCAGGGAAGGGATTTCATCCTCCTTGGGTTTTACTGCAGCATGGGGGCTTCACATTCCACCTTGATGGAGCTACAAAACCACCCCTGAAACTTCCAGAGGCCTAAAACTGCACAGAGCAACCCCTCAAGACTCCATAGCAGCCACTCTTCATTTTATTTTTCTGAGCCTCCCGAGGCTGTTCTGACAACAGCAAAAGGCCAAAGCACCAGGGAGGTCTGGGCACACTGTGATGCTCACTCCTGTTCTGTGGGGCTGAGAATAAAGGAGACAAATGAAAAGAAGAGCCACAAATTCCAGGGTTTCCACCCAGGAGATGGAAAAGGAGTGATGTAAATCTAGAAACCTCATCACAAATTTCACCCAACTGCATTTTGCTTTACGCACAGCCCAGGAGAGAAGAAGCTGAGGCAGAATCCCAGAAAAAAAATAGACTTGCAAAGCTAGAAATGCTCCTGTTTTAACCCACGTGATTCCCTACAGGAGGGAGCTGCAGGATCACAGCTCCCATATGGACAAAATAATTCCCCTGGTGACAATCAGCCGTGGCTCCGACCTAAGCCCTTGTATTTTAACAAGTGCACGTCATTGTCATTACAGTCACTCCACCCCATTGAGCTGTAGGGCCCAAAATAGCCTCAGCTGTTGAGCTCCATCTCTCCCCCTCTCCCCTCAGAGCCATTTGGAGAAATGGCAGGAGGGTGGGGGGTTGCAGAGTGAATCTGTATTGACACCAGAGAGGAGCTCAGAGGGAAAAAAAAAGTCCTGGCTGAAGAGAAAAGCTGCACTGAGATTATGCCCTGGAAATAAAACTTTTCAAAACGTTCCCTTCTGCCACCTCTCCATATGTTTTCGAGGCTCTCCTTGCCCAGTGCTGTCTCAGATTTGGGGACAAAGTGTATCAAGCTGAGTCTACAGCTCTAAACCTGGACTTTTTTTTTCACTTTTCTCCTCTAGAGTCTCCTCTGGAGACTGATTTTGCTCAGAAGTAATTAAGCAGAACAATCCAAGCTTGGCTCAGAGCAAAGGAAGGATGGATTTGCTACCTGCACCTTCAGCTCCATCCCCAAATACGTTCCATAAAGCAAAACATCCTCCAGCACAGCACAAAAACAACTTCACCCCTCCCTCAGCTACCAACAACCTTCTCCACTTCCTGCTGGGCATCAGCATCTCCAAATCCACCTCTGCTTAGCTGAAGGTTTTGGTCTTACCTGGAGTCTTGTCTGAGTCTGAGGAGGACAAAGCTCTGGGCAGAGGAAGAAAGAGCCGATTCCTACTGAGATGAAAGGAGGGGGAAGAGGGAAGAGGGGAACAGAGGACATGGGGAGACCATGTTGGCTTGGGTTCCCCCCCCCTTTCCCCTCCAGGAAAATAAAACAGAAACCCCAGCGATGGCAGGGACGTGCAGCAGGAGGTCCCCCCAAGTCCCCCAGCACTGGCTCTGCTGCCCAGGGTTAGGCTGTGCCACCCCCCTCTGACCCTCCTCTGGGTTGTCCTCCTCCAGTCAAATCGCTGACGTGCTTCGCTTTCCCTCCGCAGCCCAGCTCCAAAATAGCTCTGGGTGTCATTTACCGGGGAGATTAAATTTCCTGCAGGACAGAGGCGAAAGGGCAGCGTTTTAGGGACTCGCTGGGACAGCCCAGCAACAGGAGGGGGCAAAAACCCCACCAGGAGTGGGTGTGGGGGACAGGCTGTGGGGACAAGGTGGGTCAGAACCGTTCCTCAAGGGCCCATCCCACAGCTGAGTTCTAAATGGAATATGAGGATTCAGGAACGGGAGGTTGACGACTTATCAGCGTGGCACACTGGCCAGGAATTCCTTCCCAAAGGCATCAGATCAATAGTAGGTTTATTTATAACCTCCCAGGCAGGAGCTGTTACAATGGAAAACCAACAGCAAGTTAACAATCCTACGTGTGTCCCTTCACCTTGTATATACACAGGTTATATATTTCCCCACCTTTTAACCTCATGAATACACACTGTGTGCAGGAATCACCTGAGCTGCCGATCCATCACGTCTCAGAGGCTCAGGATCATAATTTCTACACTTACAAGTAAAATCTTCTGGTTTTTAAAAGCAATTTCCTGAGAACTGAGTCCACTTGCCAATTCTTACTGGTGAATAATTTTAAATTTTAAACTGATTTCAGCTAATGGTAGAAGAGCTGCAGCAGAGCCCAGCGGGCTCCCCCACAAACACTTCAAGTATCAGGAGTGAACTGCAAGATACGCTTATTTTTGGCAGTAAACAAAGCAGATAAGGTGCTGCATAGTCCACGGCTCTGAAGACATGGTGATAGGTTGTGTTAAATCACTTTTCAGGGCACAAAACCACCTCCAGGGCAGCAAAAGGGAGTTTTAGCTGGGATTTGAAAGCAGGGCTTGAAGAGAGTCACAGAATTGCAGAATGGTTTGGGTTGGAAGGGACCTTAAAGATCATTTTGTCTCATCCCCCAGGAATTGTCCAAGACCAGGTTGGACAGAGCAACCTGGGATAGTTGGAGACATCCTTGCCCATGGCAGGGGGTGGAATGAGATGAAGTTTAAGGTCCCTCACAGCCCAAACTATTCTATGATTCTATTAAAATTAATAAAATTACAGGATTGAGAAGTAAAAAAGATTTAAGGTGCTACCTGAAGTCCCTGTGCATTGTGAAAAACTCTTAAATTCTTAAAGACCGTGCCCATTGTGCTCGTTCTTCCCTCTCTTCTGAAGGTGGTTTGAAGTTTTAGCTGTACTTCAAAGACTTGCCAAAGACACAGGAACGTGCCCAGGGTGTTAGCAGCAGCTCTCAGCACACCTTTGAGTCAGCAGGATTTGATTTCTGAGCAGGATCACTTCCACTGCTCCACAAACTGGACATCAACACACTGCAAGGTCTATCCCCAGCCCGTAATTTGGAATAAACCAGTGTCCATTTGGAGCAAACTAAAATAAATTCAGTGTTCCCAGCCCTCCACCACACCAGCTGGACTGCATTTCCCTTCACTCTGCAATTGCCAGAGGCACGAGGTACATTTTTATGGGGTTAAACGAGCAGTGCCTCTCCTGTAACATCTTGGTGGATTTGAGGAAGATCTCAGAGACTTCATTGTCTCCACCTCACCTCAGGGTTTGATTTCTGTAAGGGACCACCTGTATATAGCAGAATTGCAAAGTGACTCCACCAATGGCCTGGGCTTAGCAACACTTCCAGGGAAGAAATTTCCCCAGTATTCAAACTAAACCCCTCTGGCACAACTTGTAATTCCCTCTCCTCCTGTCCCTGTTCCCTGGGAGCAGTTCCAGATCCCCCCCAGCTTCCCCCTCCTGTCAGGGAGTTGTGCAGAGCCAGAAATTCCCCCTGAGCCTCCTTTTCTCCTCCTCTGCTCACCCTAACTCTCTTGACATGTGTTGGATTGTCTGAGTTAACCTAAAAGTCACTAAAAATTAAAATGAGAGAAATATCTCCGGTACCAATGAGTTGTTAACCTGTTCAGGAACTCCAGCTTGTCATGGATTTAAAATAAAGGAGCATCTTAAAATGATGAGCTAATAAAAGTTCTAATTTATAGAAAGAATGGTGAAAGGCTTGGAAAAACCCCTGAATTTGGATGAAAACAAATCAAATGTCATCGGGCACAACACTGGTCCTTTCCTCTTTGAAATAAAAACTGAGAGCTTTTCCTTAAGTGTGTTTTTTCCCCACAACAAACATCAGGAAGATGTGCTAGAAACAGAAACTTGTGCAGTTTTAAAATATAGGAAAAATAAAAATCCTTTCCTTGAATTTGGAAGCTCCAAACTCGCTCATCCAAACGCTTCACTTGGAAACAAAGGGATGCCAAAGAGAATTAACCAGAATTTACAGCACAGAAACAAGCTGTATTTGGGTTTTCTCCAAGAAATCAATTTAAATTATTTGAATTGTAATAAGTAGCAAGGCCTGAGGCGTTATTTCAATATTCCTCTGAAGTATAAGATTTTTTTTGCATAAAAAAGTAGGTTTTTATAAAAGAAAAAATTTTTCTGGCTTCTCTCTGTGGGAGAATTTAATTTGATTTTTTCCCCATGTGATACTGCACAAGAATTTCAAAGCTGACATCATTTATTTCTCCTCAGTATGTTTACTCAGTTTTTACAACTAAAAAACCCTGACGCTTTGTCAGAAAAATAAAATTCAATAAAAATCAATGCTAATAAAAACTTCACACAGAAATTAAGTTAAAGAAAATGAGATATTTTTTTCCCTACCCCATCTAATTCTGATGGGGAAGAACACCTAATTCTGAGTTAAACTTCACGAGCAGTTCCCTAAGGCACTTTTATTATGAGGGAACAAATTCCCCTAAAATGTTAACTTATACCTGGCAATGTTAATTGGGAAAGTCATGGAGGACACAAAAAATTAATATATAGAGGCAAATTAAGTATCACATTGATTTAAAAAAAGAACAGAGGCCCTAGGTTATTTTTTCTTCAATTCCTAACTGGATTAATTTTTCTTAAAATGCCTTTTTTTTTAGTATTTCAGGACAAAAAATTTTTTGAACAAACAAGGTTGAAGTGACAAGGCTTCTAAGAAAAAAACTTATAGATGCTCCTTTTTATTTTATGCTTCTCTGAGCTTCTCCACCCTTAACATTAAACCTTTTTCTATATTGCTAAAAAAATACCTAAATTTTAAACTTCCTGCTGTGGTTGAACCCTGTATATCCCAAGCATTTTGTGAGGATGCCTGGAGATGTTTGAGGAGTGGACACATTCGTGCATTCCATTGTGGATTTTTGCTGGAGGAGCTGCTGATCCCAAATCCACCTGTTCTTCCCAGTAATCCCCAAATCCTCACCTGAGCAGTGTTTCCCTGGCATTAAGAACTAGATTGAAAATAAAACCCCATTAAATAAAAGGTTAGAAAGACATTTCCTAAATTTTGGGATGATGGAGCTCTAAGCCTTACTGAAGCCTCAAGGGTTTTCTGAAAATCAGATTTTCAGTAAAAATATGGCTGTGATGGCAAAATCTCTGTGGTTCTTTTGGGCCAGTCCTTCCATTTTGACATTAAACCTTCAATAACTGCAGAGTGAATAAAGCTCTGCACCTGCTTTACATCACAATTCCAAACTGTCTACAGATCTCTCACAGAAGACAGTACCCAAAAAAAAAACCCCTGCTAGAAATAAACATTTTACAACTTATTTTGCACTGGGGGCAATGCAATTGCCACAGAAAAGCACAACATTTGGTATTAAAAAATATATAAAAATATATATGAATATCTAAAAAATTTAGCCCACAGAAGATGTGGACTCCCCATCCCTGGAAGGGTTCAAGGCCAGGTTGGATTGGGCTCTGACCAAGCTGAGAAATAGTTCTATTAAAAAAACAAACAAATAAACAACCACAGCACAAAGCAAACAAAAACCCACAAAAAAAAAAAAAAAAACCAAAACAAAAAAAACCCCAAAACAGGCAAAAAAATAAAGTTTTTTCCCCCCAAAAAGGTAATAAGTTTTTACTTTTTCCAAAACGAAAAAAACAAGCAAACAAACAAATACCCAAAAAACCCACCCCAAAACCAAAAACCCCCCAAAACAATGAACCATCCCAAAAAAAACAAATGAAAAATCCAAACATAGAATCCCAGAGTGGTTTGGGATGGAAAGGACCCTAAAAACATCATTTTTCTCCCCCTCTTTCCACCTTCCACTACCCCAGGGTTACTCCAAGCCCCATCCAACCTGCCCTGTGTCAAAAAACTCACTCATCCAACAGCAGGACACCAGGAGTCTGATGATTTTCCTCTTGAAATATCTTTTACTGTAGAAACTTGTTCCCTTTTGGAAAGTTACCTGCCTGTAATGTCCATTTTGAGGTGTTTGGGCAGCGCCACGGGTGTCACCGAGACGCTCCGTGGTCACACATCCATCTCTTCCCTGGTTCCAGCTGAGGAAGATGTGTCAGCACGGATAAAACCATCTCATTCCCTCATCCCAAGCATTCCCCAGACCTTGCCCAGTGAGTGACTCAGCTCATCCCACTTTTTCTGCCTCTCCAGCTCACCCACCATCATCAGAGTCACCATTTCCCTTTTTGCCAATGCGTGACCGGTGGCAGCGAGGGCTTTGCCCAAAAATAAAGCTTTCATGGCCACGTTGTTATTGGGTGAGGTGAGTTCTGCTTTCCAGGGAATTCCAAACTGAATTCCTCTCTGTGACTCACCTTGGACATGCTGGAGAAGCCAATAGAGGCGTTCAACCTCTAAATTCTTCCAAAACCCTGCGATCCCAGCACAATCCAACCAGCATCAGTGAAAATCTGAATCTGCCAGTGACAGTCTCAGCAAAGTGGCTATAAAGACTTGATACGTAAAGGAAAATTTGGATTAAAGTGTGACAATCAGTTTTTTATCATTAATAAAACTATCTTAAATATT